CTAAGTGAAGAAGTTCGTCCGATCAAGCCGAAGTGAAGAAGTTCGTCCGACCCAAGCCGAAGAGAAGAAGCTAGTTCGCGTACCGACGGCGGAGATGAGTGACCAGTAATTCAGACTCTGGAGAGAAGAAGTTTGAGTTAGAGTTTGAGCAGCGGACGGCGAAAGAGTTCAGCCGTGGACGACAAGCAGAGATGAGCGCCCAGTGTTGAAACCGCGTCAAGATAGCTGACCAAGATTCACGCACACTTCTGGACTCTTCTTCAACCAAGAACAAGTAATTTGAAGAGCGACTTAGAATCAGACCACAGAAATAAGTTTTTTTTCGACTTTCGTCCAAAGACACACCGAAACACAAATTTCTTAGAGAGCAGACAACTGGAAGCCTTAAAGTTGCCTAGTAAAAGCCTCGTGCCACAATCCACAGAACGGGTCGGGAAGTAAACATAGTCCTATGTACCGAGCAAATAGACATAAAAAGTTTGTTACCTTTTTCTTTGATACGTTGGACCTTGTGAATTTTTATTTTTCTTTCATACATAATTGTGTGTTATCACCCCCGTTAGACTCAACTTGCATTACGGCCCCAACCCCTGTTTGATCAATTCACAACGTGGGTATGCAGACTGGAGATCAGTGCAGTTACCCTGGTAACCAGGCGTTGGAAGCGGGTTGGGAACGGCGAGGCTGGTATCAATCTAACCAAAGGGTTAGAACGTCACGTTGGAGCAGCGAGGAGCGAACAGCTGACGCCGCGGCAAAGATGTCACAGTTGGTGCTGTCCGTGACCAGGATATCAGAGCCTGGGGAGCACGTGACGTCACAATTGGCGCCGCGACCGGGAGCGAACGACACAGTCGACGCTACGACCGGGGGACGACGTCACAGTCCTTGTGAGGTAAATCTGGATAAGATTTCGTCCCCGCCAAAGAAATTTGAATAGGATTTTATCCACGCCAATTAAATATAGATAGGGTTTGATCCTCACCAAGTAAATCTGGACAGGATTTAGTCCTTGTCAGGTAAATCTGGATAGGATTTAGTCCCCGCCAAATAAATCTGAATAGGATTTTATCCACGCCAATTAAATATAGATAGGGTTTGATCCTCACCAAGTAAATCTGGACAGGATTTAGTCCTTGTGAGGTAAATCTGGATAGGATTTCGTCCCCGCCAAATAAATCTGAATAGGATTTTATCCACGCCAATTAAATATAGATAGGGTTTGATCCTCACCAAATAAATCTGGACAGGATTTAGTCCTTCTCAGGTAAATCTGGATAGGATTTAGTCCCCGCCAAATAAATCTGAATAGGATTTTATCCACGCCAATTAAATATAGATAGGGTTTGACCCTCACCAAGTAAATCTGGACAGGATTTAGTCCTTGTGAGGTAAATCTGGATAGGATTTCGTCCCCGCCAAATAAATCTGAATAGGATTTTATCCACGCCAATTAAATATGGATAGGGTTTGATCCTCACCAAGTAAATCCTGACAGGATTTTATCCTTGTCAGGTAAATCTGGATAGGATTTCTTCCCCGACAAATAAATCTGAATAGGATTTTATCTTCGCCAATTAAATATAGATAGGGTTTGATCCTCACCAAGTAAATCTGGACAGGATTTAGTCCTTGTGAGGTAAATCTGGATAGGATTTCGTCCCCGCCAAATAAATCTGAATAGGATTTTATCCACGCCAATTAAATATAGATAGGGTTTGATCCTCACCAAGTAAATCTGGACACGATTTAGTCCTTCTCAGGTAAATCTGGATAGGATTTAGTCCCCGCCAAATAAATCTGAATAGGATTTTATCCACGCCAATTAAATATAGATAGGGTTTGACCCTCACCAAGTAAATCTGGACAGGATTTAGTCCTTGTGAGGTAAATCTGGATAGGATTTCGTCCCCGCCAAATAAATCTGAATAGGATTTTATCCACGCCAATTAAATATGGATAGGGTTTGATCCTCACCAAGTAAATCCTGACAGGATTTTATCCTTGTCAGGTAAATCTGGATAGGATTTCTTCCCCGACAAATAAATCTGAATAGGATTTTATCTTCGCCAATTAAATATAGATAGGGTTTGGTCCTCACCAAATAAATCTGGACAGGATTTAGTCCTTGTGAGGTAAATCTGGATAGGATTTCGTCCTCGCCAATTAAATCTGAATAGGATTTTATCCTCGCCACTTAAATATAGATAGGGTTCGGTCCTCACCAAGTAAATCTGGACAGGATTTAGTCCTTGTCAAGTAAATCTGGATAGGATTTCGTCCCCGCCAAATAAATCTGAATAGGATTTTATACTCGCCAATTAAATATAGATAGGGTTTGGTCCTCACCAAGTAAATCTGGACAGGATTTAGTCCTTGTCAGGTAAATCTGGATAGGATTTCGTCCTCGCCAAATAAATCTGAATAGGATTTTATCCCCGCCAATTAAATATAGATAGGGTTTGGTCCTCACCAAGTAAATCTGGACAGGATTTAGTCCTTGTCAGGTAAATCTGGATAGGATTCCGTCCTCGCCAAATAAATCTGAATTGGATTTTATACTCGCCAATTAAATATAGATAGGGTTTGGTCCTCACCAAGTAAATCTGGACAGGATTTTGTCCTTGTGAAGTAAATCTGGATAGGATTTCGTCCCCGCCAAATAAATCTGAATAGGATTTTATACTCGCCAAATAAATCTGAATAGGATTTTATACTCGCCAATTAAATATAGATAGGGTTTGGTCCTCGCCAAGTAAATCTGGACAGGATTTAGTCCTACTCAGGTAAATCTGGATAGGATTTCGTCCTCGCCAATTAAATCTGAATAGGACTTTATCCCCGCCACTTAAATATAGATAGGGTTCGGTCCTCACCAAGTAAATCTGAACAGGATTTAGTCCTTGTCAGGTAAATCTGGATAGGATTTCGTCCCCGCCAAATAAATCTGAATAGGATTTTTTCCTCGCCAATTGAATATAGATAGGGTTTGGTCCTCACCAAGTAAATCTGGACAGGATTTTGTCCTTGTGAGGTAAATCTGGATGGGATTTCTTCCCCGCCAAATAAATCTGAATAGGATTTTATACTCGCCAATTAAATATAGATAGGGTTTGGTCTTCACCAAGTAAATCTGGACAGGATTTAGTCCTTGTCAGGTAAATCTGGATAGGATTTCGTCCCCGCCAAATAAATCTGAATAGGATTTTATCCTCGCCAATTAAATATAGATAGGGTTTGGTCCTCACCAAGTAAATCTTCGACAGGATTTTGTCCTTGTGAGGTAAATCTGGATAGGATTTCGTCCCCGCCAAATAAATCTGAATAGGATTTTATACTCGCCAATTAAATATAGATAGGGTTTGGTCCTCACCAAGTAAATCTGAACAGGATTTAATCCTTGTGAGGTAAATCTGGATAGGATTTCGTCCCCGCCAAATAAATCTGAATATGATTTTATACTCGCCAATTAAATATAGATAGGGTTTGGTCCTCACCAAGTAAATCTGAACAGGATTTAATCCTTGTGAGGTAAATCTGGATAGGATTTCCTCCTCGCCAAATAAATCTGAATATGATTTTATACTCGCCAATTAAATATAGATAGGGTTTGGTCCTCACCAAGTAAATCTGGACAGGATTTAGTCCTACTCAGGTAAATCTGGATTGGATTTCGTCCTCGCCAATTAAATCTGAATAGGATTTTATCCCCGCCACTTAAATATAGATGGGGTTCGGTCCTCACCAAGTAAATCTGGACAGGATTTTGTCCTTGTGAGGTAAATCTGGATAGGATTTCGTCACCGCCAAATAAATCTGAATAGGATTTTATACTCGCCAATTAAATATAGATAGGGTTTCGTCCTCACCAAGTAAATCTGGACAGGATTTAGTCCTTGTCAGGTAAATCTGGATAGGATTTCGTCCTCGCCAAATAAATCTGAATAGAATTTTATACTCGCCAATTAAATATAGATAGGGTTTGGTCCTCACCAAGTAAATCTGGACAGGATTTAGTCCTTCTCAGGTAAATCTGGATAGGATTCCGTCCTCGCCAAATAAATCTGAATAGGATTTTATACTCGCCAATTAAATATAGATAGGGTTTGGTCCTCACCAAGTAAATCTGGACAGGATTTTGTCTTTGTGAGGTAAATCTGGATAGGATTTCGTCCCCGCCAAATAAATCTGAATAGGATTTTATACTCGCCAATTAAATATAGATAGGGTTTGGTCCTCACCAAGTCAATCTGGACAGGATTTAGTCCTACTCAGGTAAATCTGGATAGGATTTCGTCCTCGCCAATTAAATCTGAATAGGACTTTATCCCCGCCACTTAAATATAGATAGGGTTCGGTCCTCACCAAGTAAATCTGAACAGGATTTAGTCCTTGTCAGGTAAATCTGGATAGGATTTCGTCCCCGCCAAATAAATCTGAATAGGATTTTATCCTCGCCAATTGAATATAGATAGGGTTTGGTCCTCACCAAGTAAATCTGGACAGGATTTTGTCCTTGTGAGGTAAATCTGGATGGGATTTCTTCCCCGCCAAATAAATCTGAATAGGATTTTATCTTCGCCAATTAAATAGAGATAGGGTTTGGTCCTCGCTAAGTAAATCTTGATATAATTTGAGAAGCATGTAGCAGGAACATTTTATATCCACTGAGTCCTTGTCCCCACTATCAGCCCCGGCTCTGAGAACCTTTAGAACATCCCTTATTTACTGTGCTTTCGCTATGTCCTGTGAGGTTTAATTTTTCCAATCCCTCCTTCTTATGGGTTCAAGAATTTTAGCTCTCTCTTTCTTATTCTGAGCAAAATTGTTTATTTTGTTACCATTTTCTTTAACACTTCCTCGTTGGTTACTTGCTCCGTTCATGAAATTCTCAGTATCCTCCTGTAGAATCAAATTTCTCTTGGCCCCAGATTCCTCTTCATTTGTGGAGAAACGTTCAGCACCCAGAGACAGAAGCTAGAAATCGACAAGGCTTACGAACGTATCACGTTGAAACACCGGTTCCCGTACGATTACCGAAGTTAAGAAACATCGAGCCTGGTCAGTACCTAGATGGGTAACCATTTGGGAACACCAGGTGCTGTAAGCTTGGCTGTGCGGTGGTGTAATGGAAAACATCTCGGAATGTTTAATCGGAGAGGCAAATTCGAATTCCAGTTTGTTTTGTTATATTCACTTACGCGCAAATAAATTTGGTAAAGGCATGAATCCCCCTCTTCTTCTCCCCAGCTGTGGGTTAAATAGTAAGACTACTATCATTAAATCATTATTTCACTCCCTTACCAAATAAAAACTTCTTACGGTATAATAAAATATTTTCGGCTTTTAAATAACGTGTATATGGTTGATAAGTCGTAAAAAATTATCAAAAACATCAGAAGATAGCCGATGGGGTGTTTATATACTCAAGGTTTCGGAGTTTGAAGTAAATGATATATTCTTTTCTTTTCATATATCTATCAAAATATGTGGGAATAAGAAGGTAGGCTTGGTATGATTGTATGAAAAATAGATTTGAGGGAAATTACAATGGTCATAAGAACGAGACGTCGATTGACCAGCAAGAATATATTTGAAGAAGTTATTGCTAATGTAAAAGAAGTTGTTGCGAGTAAAAAGCTACAATAATACGTCGAAAACGCTATTAAATCAACAAAAATACTAATATTGTAGTAAAAACTATAACGAAAAACTTCTAGGTCAAACGAAAAAGTTATTTACGCTATTGTTCAAACAACACAAGAAATTTTCCAGTGGCTTGAGAACCTATAGGGATTTAAACTCAACCCAGAATTCAAGTGGAACCCGTGCATATGATCAATCTCTGTACCAATCCAGTAACATACTTACCTTATATAGGTAGGGTTTATCATCTTTCACTCAGTTGTGGCCCTGTCCGCGGACAGAGACGCAATTGAAAACAAATACTGTGAGGTTCCCGGTCCTGGGGAACAGCTGCGGAAGCTATAGCCACCCCATTACGCTAGCGAGGGTTGATCGGTAGAAAAAAGATTAAGTTAAAGAATGAAAAGATGAGAGGAAAAAGTGAAGAATAAAGAAAGAGGAAGAAAAATGAAGAATGAAGACAGAAAAAATTAAAGAATGAAAAGAAAGAAAGAAAAATGAAAAATGAAGAGAGAGAAGAAATTGTCGTCCCGAGGCAGCGCAACCGACAGTTGCGGGGACTGGGCAAATTTTTGTCCTTGGCCCGTGTGCACACGCTAGGATCCCCCATGTTAAACCCGACATTGTGTCACATCCCAAATGGGGAGACCAGAGTAATTAACTATACCGTTCCTGCTATCCTCTAACTTTTCAAAAGGCAGATCAGGCCGAAAATGGAGAACTGTTGCCATATATGAACAACTACCTGCCCAGTCTTCACCCTCCAGTCCCGATAGAGTTCAAGAGTTTTTCCGCATCCGTGTCGGCGTTGAAATTATATTCCACCCTACAACCCCTTTCCCCATAGACGAAACGACGCAGGCCTCTCACTAGTCTGCCGCTATTTCTATAAAAAGTGTTCAGACGAAATACATTTCTTAGTTCCACTAGTTCTAACCTTCAAGGCTACGACCCACCATACTAGATACATTCTAGGGGACTACCCTCATTCTCTTCGTAATCCATTGGTGAGATGTAAGTTCCACGCGAACAGCTTCTTTCCAGGAACCGCTGCTTTGTGGAACCGACTCCCAAGAGGATGCTTCCCTGATCACTAAAATCTTAATCTTTTTATGTCCAGGGTCAGCAGTTATCCTTTCCCCGATATCCCCATAAAATGTGCCTCTTACTCTGTAACTTTGAATGTCTCAACAAGGCCCAAGAGCCACTCAAGGTAGAGGGTTAGTGAATGGTGTTGTTTTATCGACGCAAGAATTGTAGATTATGAGCATATTTAGGGTAGATGACGGTTAATCTTAGAATTGAAGTGGTTAAGATTATAGTTGTCAGGGAAATATACTCTCAGGAGTCTGTTCCACAAAGCAGCTGTCTTAGGGAACAAGCTGTCCGAATTGAACCAATGGATTACGAAAGGCATGAGAATGGTTCGCCCTGTGTACATGGCATCGCTGGTATTAGCTGTAAAGGTCTGAACTGGTGGAACTATCTGTGCCTTTCTATCTTTGTCTTTTTCTGACTCATTATCTATCCCCCACCCCGTCCTTCATATTAAAAACAGCTGATGCCAACTTCCCCCGCCACTGACATCTGTCACTGGCCACTTATAACTCCAGCGTCCATTTCCCGCGCTTTAATCTCCAGTTTTCGCTTCCTGCCATTTTCTTGTCAGCAGTATTCATTCGACAATTGCTTGTTTCACAGAGATTTTCAATTTACGCTAACAATGCTGGGCAGTAATGGCGGTGGTTTTCTGCCCTTGTTAAAATTGGCTATTCGTTTGTTATTTGGACCGTTTTGTTGCTTGTTTTGTTCGATTTTGTGGAAAGTAGAAGGTGTGAAAAATAAGGTAAATGGACACAATGAATTACGAGAGAGATTGACAAAAGGAAGGAAGGAAGGAAGGAAGGAAGGAAGGAAAGGAAGGAAGTGTGAAAGAAAGAAATGAGTAAGTAATGAAGGATTGAAAGGTCAGAAAATTAACAAGGAAATAATTTTGAAAAAAAGATGGGAAAAAAATGATAAAGAACAGGGAAGAAAAAAAGAAAGAATTCAATTATGAGAAAGAGAGAAAGAAAGAAAGAAAGAAAGAATGGCAGGAAGAAGAATTCAGTTATAAAAAAGAAAGAAAGAAAGAAGAATTCAATTATAAGAAAGAAAGAAAGAAAGAAGAATTCAATTATAAGAAAGAAAGAATAAAGAAAGGAGGGAAGGAAGGAAGAAGAATTCAGTTACAAAAAAAAAGAAAAAAGAAAGAATTCAATTATAGGAAAGAAAAAGAAAGAAAGAAAGAAAGAAAGAAAGAAAGAAAGAAAAGAGAAAGGAAGGAGGGGTGCGTAATTATATGAGAAAACATTAAAAGAAGAAAAAACAATAAAGAAGGAGTAACTCTATTATATGAAATGATACGAGCAATAACAAAAAAGAAAGAAAAGAGAAAGAAAGAAGAATGGAGTTATAAGAAAGAAAGAAAAACAGCCGTAGGAAAGTAAGAAAGTATACTTCACTTATAAGAAAGAAAGAAAGAAAGAAAGAAAGAAAGAATTCAGTTATAGGACAGGAAAAAAGAACAAAAAAGAACGAGTAATTCAATTATATGAAAAGATGCGAACAATAAGAAAGAAGAAAAAAAACAAAGAAAAAGATAGAAAGGAATAATCCAATGACATGAAACTAGAAAAGAAAGAAAGAAATAATTTAGTTATAGCAAAGCAGGAAAAAATAAGAAAGAAAGAAAGAAAGAAAGAAAGAAAGAAAGAAAGAAGAATCCAGTTATAGGAAAGGACGAAACAATTAGAAAGAATGAAAGAAAAAAATATACTTAAAAGAAGAAAGAAAAAATGAAAGAGCAATTCAATTATATGAAATTATAAAAGCAATAGAAAGAAAGAAAGAAAGAAAGAAAGAAAGAAAGAAAGAAAGAAAGAAAGAAGTCCATTATAGGAGAAGTAAGAAAGTGCACTGGCGATAAAAAGCAAAGATCTGGAAATACATTATTTTAAGAAGCGATAAAAAGATAAACAAAGAATTGAAAAGAAATCATAATAATGCCAAGAAAGAAAAAGACAAAGCATTTTTTTTTCGAAAAAAGAAAAAAAAAACGTGAAAGTCGTCAAAGTAAAGAAAGGAATAGACTGGAAGCAGGTGAGGCGAACAAGAACGGCCGACCAAATTAAAAACTGAAGATTTCAATAACATAAGACTTTTTAATTTGAAATCGGCACTTGTTTTGTATAATCACCCAGTCGATGTTTATTGGTTTTCGTTTGAGGCAACAGGGAAATAAATAAATATTGTTGAATGAGTGCAGCAGCTGTTCAGGCTACACATGGGCAAGGGTAGGTGTTTCTGGGCTGAATGCGTTTAGGAAGTGTAAGGAAAGGGGCGAGGAGCAAGAAAATTAGGCATCAATGTGCGGGAGGGGGTAAAAGAAAAGAAAGAAAACGAGGGCGAAAGATAGTGTGAGAAATGCATTCAAAGGGCAAGGAGATAAATGAGAGACTGATAAAGGCGGGAAAGAAAGAAAGAAAGAAAGAAAGAAAGAAAGAAAGATTAGTGTCAAAATTAGGAGAAAATGAAAAGAATGAAACGGAAAGAAAGAAAGAAAGAAAGAAAGAAAGAAAGAAAGAAAGAAAGAAAGATTAGAGTCAGAATTAGGAGAAAAGGAAAAGAATGAAACGAAACAAAAAAAAGAAAGAAAGAAAGAAGGAGAGGAAGAGAGATTACTGACCGAATTACTAGAAAAAAGAAAGAAAGAAAGAAAGGAAGAAAGTCAGATTGCAGTATGAATGAGAAGCGAAAGAAATACAAAAGAAATTAATGATTGACAGAAGGAACGAAGAAGGCGAGAAAGAGAGATTATTGACCGAATTACTAGAAACACAAAAGAAAGAAAGAAAGAAAGAAAGAAAGAAAGAAAGAAAGAAAGAAAAATTGTAGGACGATTTAGGAGAAACGAATATACAACATGAAAAAAATTAAAATTGACAAGAAAGAAAGAAAGAAAGAAATGAAAGAAAGAAAGAAACACTCGAAACAAAGTAAACGCGGATTTTATAAGAAAACGAAAGAGAGAGGGATAAAAAGAGAGTGAAACAAATGTCATGTATTGAGAAAGAATGATAAATGAATCAAAAATGCGAGGAAAGAAGTAAAACGAATATAAGACGTGAGGAAGACGATGAGAACAATATGATAGAGAATAAAATACACGAGGAAGAAGACAACAGGAACAATATGAGACAGATCGAAGGAGGATAAAGGAATAAAAGACAGAGGAAGCGGAAGAGAAGAACAAAATCAGACAGAACGACAGACGACAAACGAATAAAATACACTAGAAAGAAGACAGGAAGAATATGAGTTTCATCGAAGGAGGATAAACGAATAAAATACGCGAGGAAGACGCAGAGGAGAACAATATGGGACAGATCGCAGGAGGATAAACGAATAGAATACACGTGGAAGACGGAGAGGTGATCAATATGGGACAGATCGAAGGAGGATAAACGAATAAAATACGCGAGGAAGACGGAGAGGAGAACAATATGGGACAGATCGAAAGAGGATAAACGAATAAAATACCCGAGGAAGACGGAGAGGAGACCAATATGGGACAGATCGAAGGAGGATAAACGAATAGAATACACGAGGAAGAGAGAGAGGAGAACAATATGGGACAAATCGAAAGAGGATAAAAGAATAAAATACGCGAGGAAGACGGAGAGGAGACCAATATGGGACAGATCGAAGGAGGATAAACGAATAGAATACACGAGGAAGAGAGAGAGGAGAACAATATGGGACAGATCGAAGGAGGATAAAAGAATAGAATACACGAGGAAGAGAGAGAGGAGGACAATATGGGACAGATCGAAGGAGGATAAAAGAATAAAATACGCGAGGAAGACGGAGAGGTGATCAATATGGGACAGATCGAAGGACGATAAACGAATAAAATACGTGAGGAAGACGCAGAGGAGAACAATATGGGACAGATCGAAGGAGGATAAACGAATAAAATACGCGAGGAAGACGCAGAGGAGACCAATATGGGACAGATCGAATGAGGATAAACGAATACAATACGCGAGTAAGACGCAGAGGAGAACAATATGGGACAGATCAAAGGAGGATAAACGAATAGAATACGCGAGGAAGACGCAGAGGAGACCAATATGGGACACATCGAAGGAGGATAAACGAATAGAATACAAGAGGAAGAGAGAGAGGAGAAAAATATGGGACAGATCGAATGAGGATAAAAGAATAGAATACACGAGGAAGCGAGAGAGGAGAACAATATGGGACAGATCGAAGGAGGATAAAAGAATAAAATACGCGAGGAAGACGGAGAGGAGACCAATATGGGACAGATCGAAGGACGATAAACGAATAAAATACGTGAGGAAGACGCAGAGGAGAACAATATGGGACAGATCGAAGGAGAATAAACGAACACAATACGCGAGGAAGACAGAGGAGAACGATATGGGACAGATCGAATGAGGATAAACGAATACAATACGCGAGGAAGACGCAGAGGAGAACAATATGGGACAGATCGAATGAGGATAAACGAATGAATTACGCGGGAAAGACGGATAGGAGACCAATATAGGACACATCGAATGAGGATAAACGAATAAAATACGCGAGGAAGACGCAGAGGAGAACAATATGGGACAGATCGAAGGAGGATAAACGAATGAATTACCCGGGAAAGACGGAGAGGAGACCAATATGGGACACATCGAAGGAGGATAAAGGAATAAAATACGCGAGGAAGACGGAGTGGAGACCAATATTCGACAGATCGAAGGTGGATAAACGAATAAAATACGTGAGGAAGACGCAGATGAGACCAATATGGGACAGATCGCAGGAGGATAAACGAATAAAATCCGCGAGGAAGACGCAGAGGAGACCAATATGGGACAGATCGAATGAGGATAAACGAATAAAATACGCGAGTAAGACGCAGAGGAGAACAATATGGGACAGATCAAAGGAGGATAAACGAATAGAATACGCGAGGAAGACGCAGAGGAGACCAATATGGGACAGATCGAAGGTGGATAAACGAATAAAATACGCGAGGAAGACGTAGAGGAGAACAATATGGGACAGATCGAAGGTGGATAAAGGAATAAAATACGCGAGGAAGACGGAGCGGAGACCAATATGGGACAGATCGAAGGTGGATAAAGGAATAAAATACACGTGGAAGACGCAGAGGAGACCAATATGGGACACATCGAAGGAGGATAAACGAATAGAATACAAGAGGAAGAGAAAGAGGAGAACAATATGGGACAGATCGAATGAGGATAAAAGAATAGAATACACGAGGAAGAGAGAGAGGAGAACAATATGGGACAGATCGAAGGAGGATAAACGAATAAAATACGCGATGAAGACGGAGAGGAAACCAATATGGGACAGATCGAAGGAGGATAAACGAATAAATTACGCGAGGAAGACTTAGAGGAGAACAATATGGGACAGATCGAAGGAGGATAAAGGATTAAATTATCTGAGGAAGACGGAGAGGTGAACAATATGGGACACACCGAAGGAGGATAAACGAATAAAATCCGCGAGGAAGACGCAGAGGAGACCAATATGGGACAGATCGAATGAGGATAAACGAATAAAATACGCAAGTAAGACGCAGAGGAGAACAATATGGGACAGATCAAAGGAGGATAAACGAATAGAATACGCGAGGAAGACGCAGAGGAGACCAATATGGGACACATCGAAGGAGGATAAACGAATAGAATACAAGAGGAAGAGAGAGAGGAGAACAATATGGGACAGATCGAATGAGGATAAAAGAATAGAATACACGAGGAAGAGAGAGAGGAGAACAATATGGGACAGATCGAAGGAGGATAAAAGAATAAAATACGCGAGGAAGACGGAGAGGAGACCAATATGGGACAGATCGAATGAGGATAAACGAATAAAATACGCGAGTAAGACGCAGATGAGACCAATATGGGACAGATCGCAGGAGGATAAACGAATAAAATCCGCGAGGAAGACGCAGAGGAGACCAATATGGGACAGATCGAATGAGGATAAACGAATAAAATACGCGAGTAAGACGCAGAGGAGAACAATATGGGACAGATCGAAGGTGGATAAAGGAATAAAATACGCGTGGAAGACGGAGAGGTGATCAATATGGGACAGATCGAAGGAGGATAAACGAATAAATTACGCGAGGAAGACTTAGAGGAGAACAATATGGGACAGATCGAAGGAGGATAAAGGATTAAATTATCTGAGGAAGACGGAGAGGTGAACAATATGGGACACACCGAAGGAGGATAAACGAATAAAATCCGCGAGGAAGACGCAGAGGAGACCAATATGGGACAGATCGAATGAGGATAAACGAATAAAATACGCGAGTAAGACGCAGAGGAGAACAATATGGGACAGATCAAAGGAGGATAAACGAATAGAATACGCGAGGAAGACGCAGAGGAGACCAATATGGGACACATCGAAGGAGGATAAACGAATAGAATACAAGAGGAAGAGAGAGAGGAGAACAATATGGGACACATCGAAGGAGGATAAACGAATAAATTACGCGAGGAAGCGAGAGAGGAGAACAATATGGGGCAGATAGCAGGAGGATAAACGAATAAAATCCGCGAGGAAGACGCAGAGGAGACCAATATGGGACAGATCGAATGAGGATAAACGAATAAAATACGCGAGCAAGACATGCGAGGAAGAGGAGAGGAACAATATGGGGACAGATCGAAGGTGGATAAAGGAATAAAATACGCGTGGAAGACGGAGAGGTGATCAATATGGGGACAGATCGAAGGAGGATAAACGAATAAATTACGCGAGGAAGACTTAGAGGAGGAAAGGAATAAAATATGGGACAGATCGAAGGAGGATAAAGGATTAAATTATCTGGAGGAAGACGGAGAGGTGAACAATACGCGAGGGACACACCGAAGGAGGATAAACGAATAAAATCCGCGAGGAAGACGCAGAGGAGACCAATATGGGACAGATCGAAATGAGGATAAACGAATAAAAATACGCGAGTAAGACGAAGAGAGGAGAACAATATGGGACAGATCAAAGGAGGATAAACGAATAGAATACGCGAGGAAGACGCAGAGGAGACCAATATGGGACACATCGAAGGAGGATAAACGAATAGAATACAAGAGGAAGAGAGAGAGGAGAACAATATGGGACACATCGAAGGAGGATAAACGAATAAATTACGCGAGGAAGAGAGAGAGGAGAACAATATGGGGCAGATCGAAGGAGGATAAACGAATAAAATACGCGAGGAAGACGGAGAGGAGACCAATATGGGACAGATCGAAGGAGGATAAACGAATAAAATACGCGAGGAAGACGCAGAGGAGAACAATATGGGACAGATCGAAGGAGGATAAACGAATAAAATACGCGAGGAAGACGCAGAGGAGAACAATATGGGACAGATCGAAGGAGGATAAAAACGAGGACCAAAGAATAAAAGAACAATATGGGACAGAAGGAGGATAAAGGAATAAATTACGAACAATATGGGACACATCGAAGGAGGATAAACGAATAAAATACAAGAGGAAGAGGAAGAGAAATATGGGGAGAGGAGAAGGAAGACGCAGAGGGAACAAGATGGGACAGATCGAAGGAGGATAAAGGTGGATAAAGGAACGAATAAAATACGCGAGGAAGACGCAGAGGAGAACAATATGGGACAGATCGAAGGAGGATAAACGAATAAAATACGCGAGGAAGACGGAGAGGAAACCAATATGGGACAGATCGAAGGAGGATAAACGAATAAAATACGCGAGGAAGACGCAGCGGAGAACAATATGGGACAGATCGAATGAGGATAAAGAATACAAGAGGATAATGGGATACGCGAGGATAAAGACGCAGAGGAGAACAATATGGGACAGATCGAAGGAGGATAAACGAATAAAATACGCGAGGAAGACGGAGAGGAGACCAATATGGGACAGATCGAAGGTGGATAAAGGAATAAAATACGCGTGGAAGACGGAGAGGTGATCAATATGGGACAGATCGAAGGAGGATAAACGAATAAAAGGATAAACGCGAGGAAGACGGAGAGGAAACCAATATGGGACAGATCGAAGGAGGATAAACGAAAAAATACGCTGAGGAAGACGGAGATCGAAGGAGAACAATATGGGACAGATCGAAGGAGGATAAACGAACGAAAAATACGCGAGGAAGACGGAGATGAGACCAATCCGCGAGGAAGACGAGGGACACATAGACCGAATGAGGAAGGAGGAGGATAAACGAATAAAATACGCGAGGAAGACGGAGAGGAGAACAATATGGGGCAGATCGAAGGAGGATAAACGAATAAAATACGCGAGGAAGAGGAACAAAGACAGATCGAAGAGGATAAAGACGCAGAGGACAAAGACGCAGATGGGACAGATCGAGGATGAGGATAAACGAGGAAGACGGAAGAGGAAAATGGGACAGCGAAGGAGGATAAAGATCTGAGGAAGAGGAGAGGAACAATATGGGACAGATCGAAGGTGGATAAAGGAATAAAATACGCGTGGAAGACGGAGAGGTGATCAATATGGGACAGATCGAAGGAGGATAAACGAATAAATTACGCGAGGAAGACTTAGAGGAGAACAATATGGGACAGATCGAAGGAGGATAAAGGATTAAATTATCTGAGGAAGACGGAGAGGTGAACAATATGGGACACACCGAAGGAGGATAAACGAATAAAATCCGCGAGGAAGACGCAGAGGAGACCAATATGGGACAGATCGAATGAGGATAAACGAATAAAATACGCGAGTAAGACGCAGAGGAGAACAATATGGGACAGATCAAAGGAGGATAAACGAATAGAATACGCGAGGAAGACGCAGAGGAGACCAATATGGGACACATCGAAGGAGGATAAACGAATAGAATACAAGAGGAAGAGAGAGAGGAGAACAATATGGGACAGATCGAAGACAGGAGGATAAAAGAATAGAATACACGAGGAAGCGAGAAGAGGAGAGGACAATATGGGACAGATCGAAGGAGGATAAAAGAATAAAATACGCGAGGAAGACGGAGAGGAGACCAATATGGGGACAGATCGAAGGACGATAAACGAATAAAATACGTGAGGAAGACGCAGAGGAGAACAATATGGGACAGATCGAAGGAGGATAAACGAATAAAATCCGCGAGGAAGACGCAGAGGGAAGACGCGAAAGGAGGATAAACGAATAAAATAAAAGGGAGAGGAGAACAATATGGGGACAGATCGAAGGTGGATAAAGGAGGAGAACAATATGGGACAGATCGAAGGAGGATAAACGAATAAAATACGCGAGGAAGACGGAGAGGAGACCAATATGGGACAGATCGAAGGAGGATAAAGGAATAAAATACGAGCAAGGAAGACGGAGAGGAGAACAATATGGGACAGATCGAAGGAGGATAAACGAATAAAATACGCGAGGGAGAGAACGGATCGAAGGAGGATAAAAACTGAGGAAGACGGAGAGGAGGGACAGATCGAAGGAGGATAAACGAACCAAAAATACGCGAGGAAGACGCAGCGGAGAACAATATGGGGACAGATCGAAGGAGGATAAACGAAAACCAAGAGGAAAAATACGCGAGGAAGACGATCGAAGGAGGATAAAGGAATAAAATAGAGGAAGAGAACAACAATATGGGACAGATCGAAGGAGGATAAACGAATAAAATACGCGAGGGAAGACGGAGAAGGAGACCAATATGGGACAGATCGAAGGTGGATAAAGGAATAAAATACGCGTGGAAGACGGAGAGGTGATCAATATGGGACAGATCGAAGGAGGATAAACGAATAAAATACGCGAGGAAGACGGAGAGGAAACCAATATGGGACAGATCGAAGGAGGATAAACGAAAAAAATACCTGAGGAAGACGGAGAGGAGAACAATATGGGACACACCGAAGGAGGATAAACGAATAAAATACGCGAGGAAGACGGAGAAGAGACCAATATGGGACACATCGAAGGAGGATAAACGAATAAAATACGCGAGGAAGACGGAGCGGAGAACAATATGGGGCAGATCGCAGGAGGATAAACGAATAAAATACGCGAGTAAGACGCAGAGGAGACCAATATGGGACAGATCGAATGAGGATAAACGAATAAAATACGCGAGGAAGGAGAAAGACAATAGGGGAGAACGAAAAATACGGGACAGATCGAAGGATGGGGATCGAAGGAGGATAAAACGAGGAATAAAATGGGACAGACGCGAGGATAAACGAATAAAAAATACGCGAGGAAGACGCAGAGGAGACCAATATGGGACAGATCGAAGGAGGATAAACGAATAAAACAATACGCAGGGATATGGGACAGAGGAGTAAACGAAATATGAGGAAGACAGATCAAATGGGAGGATAAACGAATAAAATACGCGAGGAAGACGCAGAGGAGAACAATATGGGACAGATCGAAGGAGGATAAACGAATGAATTGGAAGGGAAAGACGGAGAGGGGACGAATAAATGGGACACATCGAAGGAGGATAAAGGAATAAAATACGCGAAGAAGACGGTGTGGAGACCAATATTCGACAGATCGAAGGTGGATAAACGAATAAAATACGTGAGGAAGACGCGGTGGAGAACAATATGGGACAAATCGAAGGAGGATAAACGAATAGGAAAAGGAGGACGAATGAGGAAGACGAATAAAATACGCGAGGAAGATGAGACCAATACAGATCGAAGGGAGGGGACAGATCGGAGGAGGATAAACGAATAAAATACGCAAGAATACGCAGCGGAGAACAATATGGGACAGATCGAAGGAGGATAAACGAATAAAATACGTGAGGAAGACGCAGATGAGACCAATATGTGACAGATCGAATGAGGATAAACGAGTAAAATACCCGAAGAAGACGCAGAGGAGACCAATATGGGACAGATCGAAGGACGATAAACGAATAAAATACGCGAGGAAGACGCAGAGGAGACCAATATATGGACAGATCGAAGGAGGATAACCCAATAAAATTCGCGAGGAAGACGCAGAGGAGAACAATATGGGACAGATCGAAGGAGGATAAACTACTAAAATACGCGAGGACGACTAAGACAGGAACAAATTGAGACAGAACGAAAGACGATAAACGAATAAAAGACGCGAGGAAGACGAAGACAGGAAAAATATGAGACCGATGCAAAGATGATAAACGAATTAAAGCCGCTTGGAAGACGGTGAGTGTGACAATATGAGACAGAACGGAAACGATAAACAAATAAAAGGCACCGGGAAAGAAGAAGAAATGAAAAATATGAGAGAGAACAAAAGACGATAAACGAATAAAAACGACAGAATGGACAAAGTTCTTTACAATCTCAACGGTCAAACCTGCGGAATTCGCAATTCATAGAAACAGGAGACAGTTAACTCCTGGATCGTTACAGGGTACGTACCTTTTCCAGTATCTTTCGCCATAGATTGCATGTACGATTTTCTGTTGTGGTCTCGGTTGAAAATATAAAAATATTACGAAAAGACAATATAGGCAGTGTATTGGTTTAATTGTATGCTGAACGTTAGCAGTGAGTATTTACATGCGTTAGACATGCATGTGGGCGTACTGAAGTCTATATACAAGCTGCCATTTCAAGACACTATTAATTTTAAACATATCATTTTCCCCCTCTTTTTTTGTTTATTTTAAATCAGAAGATAATTTATGAGAGTGTCCAGAAAATTATAGACAAGAACTGGTACCCCAGATGACACTACTGGTTATTGTTCATAGCAATATACGTTTTGAGAATTGGTTTAGACGAAAAAACTTTCAGCATCTATCTATCTATCTATCTATCTATCTAAGTCACTTCAGATCTATCTTTCTAAGTCTCTTCATATCTATCTATCTATCTATCTATCTATCTATCTATCTATCTAAGTTTCTTCAGATCTATCTATCTATCTTTCTAAGTCTCTTCATATCTATCTAAGTTTCTTCAGATCTATCTATCTATCTTTCTAAGTCTCTTCAGATCTATCTATCTATCTTTCTAAGTCTCTTCAGATCTATCTACGTTTCTTCAGATCTATCTATCTATCTTTCTAAGTCTCTTCAGATCTATCTATCTATCTTTCTAAGTCTCTTCAGATCTATCTATCTATCTATCTATCTATCTATCTATCTCCTTCA